TGTCTTGTCTATGTATTATCATAATGTGATAATGGGTAAAGACATCATTATTCTCAGTTTGGGAACATGTAAAAGATGTAGTGAGTTGGTGGAAGCCTAATAACCTGTATCACAGACAAAGATCCATGCATAGGGTACAGAGTTATAAGACAGCTTAGGACTTCGATTCCATCTTCTAAAAGCAATATTAAACTTCCATGTACCTGGAGATGAAGGGATATTTGGTACCCTTGTGGTAAAGGGAAGAAGGAAAAATTAGGGGAAAACATAACTATTTTACTCATTTTATCAAATGAATGTACAGGTGGAGAGATATAGCTCTGTTGGATTAACTACTAAGTACTGCAGTCAGAATATTGTTTTCAAGTTAATTCCTTCCTATCAGAATTCAGTGGTCTCTTTACAATATTTTGATTTCATGTTAAGTTGTTGTCATGTACTTCATTGGTTATTTATAGCGTAGAATTGGTTCTGTAGGGAAAACACTATTAAAGTGATGATAGCTACTACTTACCTATTGAACAACTTTGATTCTAGTTCCAAAATGTGCAAGGTTTTTTCTGACCTAAAAATAAGACTGTGCTGGATCCACGGATAGTGGGCAGGATGTTACCACCACACATAGTCTCACAATTTAGAAGGAAATAGGACATTTGCACACACAGAGAAGCTGTGACAGGCTTTTGGAACTTCTTCTGCAAGACTTACCTGACATCTAGCGGCAGAAGCAGGAAAAGTAAAAAATTCAGCAGCAGAGAACAGAAATAGTTTTAACGATATATAAATCAGGGTTTTGTAAATAGTAAGTGAAAAATTCAAGAAATGTTTTGAACACAACTAGTAAATGTAGTTATAAATAAATGGGTAAAACCGAAGTATTTATCTCTATTACCCTTTCTAAAGATTATCTACATAGAATCACAGAATGGTTGGGTTGGAAAGGACCAGAAGATCATCTAGTTCCAACCCCCCTGCCATGAGCAGGGACACCACACACTAAACCATGTCGCTCAAGGCTCTGTCCAACCTGGCCTTGAACACAGCCAGGGATGGAACATTCACAACTTCCTTGGGCAACCCATTTCAGGGCCTCACCACCCTCACAGTAAAGAATTCCTTCCTTATATCTAATCTAAACTTCCCCTGTTTAAGTTTAAAGCCATTACCCCTTGTCCTACCACTACAGTCCCTGATGAAGAGTCCCTTCCCAGCATCCTTGTAGGCCCCCTTCAGATACTGGAAGGCTGCTATGAGGTCTCCACACAGTCTTCTCTTCTCCAGGCTGAACAGCCCCAACTTTCTCAGCCTGTCTTCATACGGGAGGTGCTCCAGCCCCCTTATCATCCTTGTGGCCCTCCTCTGGACACCAGAACTGTACAGACTACTTCAAGTGAGGTCTCATGAGAGCAGAGCAGAGGGGCAGGATCACCTCCTTCGACCTGCTGGTCACGCTTCTTTTGATGCAGCCCAGGAT